AACACAAACTCCCCAGCTCCTGCCCCGACTCCTGGCACCCACCATCACACCTCTGTCTGTATGACTCAGATCCTCCAGGGACCTCACATAAGTGAGGAGTAGGAGTTCCTTGAGGACATGTGCTGAGTGAAATCAGCCAATCAGAAGAAGATGAAGATTGTATGATTCCACTTATATGCATGTGGTAGCAGGTGTCATGATTTCCTTCCTTTCTAAGGCTAATATTCCCTTGTGTGGATGCACCACATTTTGTTTATTCTTTCATCTGTCCATGGACACTGAGGTTGCTTCCATGTTTTAGCTATAGTGAGTGATGCTGCTGTGAACATGTGCAAATATCTCTTCGAAACCCTGCTTGCAATTCTTTTGGGTGTATACCCAGAAGTGGGATTGCTGGATCATATGGGAATTCTACCTTTAATTTTTGAGGAAACTTCCTACTGTTTTCCACAGGAGCTGCACCATTTTACGTTCCCACCAACAGTGCTCAGGGCTCCAGTTTCCCCACATCCTCCTGACACTGTTATTTCCTGGGGTTTGGACAGCAGCCATCCTGATGGATGAAGAGGTATCACTGTGGTTTGATTGGTGCTTCCCATCACAAGCACTGTTGAGCATCTTTTCATGGGCTGGTTGGCCAGTCATGTATCTTCTTTGGGGATGTCTATTCAAGTCTTTTACCCATTTTAAATTAAGGTGTTTGGAGGGTTTGTTGTTGAATTTTATGAGTTCTCTATGTATTCTGGACAATAAATCTAATATCAGATTTATGATTTGCAAGTATTTTTTCCCATTCTCTGGGCTGCCTTTTCACTCTCGCTATCATCCTTTGAAGCACAAAAGTTTTAATTTTTCCAATTTATCTTTCTTTTTTTTTTTCTTTTTTTTTTAAATATATTTTATTGATTTTTTACAGAGAGGAAGGGAGAGAGATAGAGAATTAGAAACATCGATCAGCTGCCTCTTGCACATCTCCTACTGGGGATGTGCCCACAACCCAGGTACATGCCCTTGACCGGAATCGAACCTGGGACCTTTCAGTCCCCAGGCTGACGCTCTATCCACTGAGCCAAACCGGTTTCGGCAAATTTATCTTTCTTTTCTTTTGTGTCCTGTGCTTTTGGTGTCATATCTAAGCAATGTTGCCAAACCCAAGGCCATGACGATTTCCCCCAGTGTTTTCTTCTAAGAGTTGTATAGCCTTAGCTCTTACGTTTAGGTGCCTGGCAGGGTTTTAAGGCCCTAACAGCTTCAAGTTCCAGTCGCCCCAGCAGAGCTCCTCCCACCCCCGGAAGCTCCTTTCTTCATTGCAATGCAGTGTCTGGGATTTCGTTTTAGCCACCCCATGAAAGCAAGGGACAGAGGGCAGGGTCCATGAGTCACCCCCGTACCCCTGTCCAGGACAGGCCCCCACAGCGTGCCTAGCATCATCCTCAGGCAACCCTTTGAATAGATTAATGCAGGTGGGTTCTGTCCCAAGGAACCTCTCAGGATTGACCACAGTCTGGATTCCTCCCACCAACCAGGGCTGATAGCCCCCTGTGGTCCTCTGGGCAGGGGGTCAGATGCAAAGAGAGGCCCCAAGAGCTGGATGGAGAGGGAAGGGGGTGAGAGTTCTCTCCTGCATCATATATGCCCAGGGGTCCACTGGGGTGACCCCGAGAGGCTGACCGGGTAGTGTCCCCCACTGTGAGCCTTCCAGTGTCTTCCCTGATCCAACCACCCCTTTACAGGGTCTCCACTGCTGTCCCAGGCCTCAGACATGGACAGATGGCCATGGGAACACAGACACCAGGGGCCTGGGCACCCACCCATCGGGCAGGAGGACAGTCAGCTTTGGCCCCAGTCAGCAGTTCTGGGCAGTGCCGGAGCCAGTGCCCCAGCCACTGTCCTGAGCAGGGCTGTATTTTGGTTCAACGGAGGAATGCACAGCCTGCTTCCTGCCTGGCACCTGCAGGGGACGCGCCCTTAGAGGCTGCGAACCCGGCTCAGCTGAGCCACAGCCACAGGCAGGAACCACCCCTCTCCTTGGGGAGAGATGTCTGTAGGGAGTGCAGGAGAGGCCGGTCCCCGGGGCAGAGTCGCCAAGAGTACAGACAGGGGTGGGAAGACAGGCAGATGCCAGAGCTGATTGGGGCGGGACTGGCAGCCTGGAGGCCCAGAGGGCTGGGACAGGGGGCACCACATTCCTCTGTGGCCTCTCACCCTCTTCCCCGATTGTCCTCCATATGACCCGTCTTTGGAGGACACGTCAGAACTGAGTGTCCCATCAACAGCAAGCCTGTCTGTCAGGGCGAGGCCGAGAGGCCGACCAAGGGCAGGAGTGACTGGCCAGCACCGGGAAGTACAAAAGCTTTCATGTGAATTTTGAGGTCCCCTCTCCTCTTAGAGAGGATCTGGGCCAGGGGTGGCAAATTCTGGTGTCCCGGGGCCAGCAGGAGACAGAAAAAGGTGAGGCTAGCTGAGTTCTGCCTCACTGTACCCAGTCTCCGCCCCATCCCTGTGTCCCCAAGGCCCACACATGGGCCAGGCCCTGCCAGGACTTGGATTGTCCCAGGGGAGCTGGAAATGCAGAGTCTGTGAGTGACACGGTGGGGCCAAGTGAAATCCAGTGAGTTTCCCACTTGGAGGAAGGAACAGTGACAAAACCCAGGCATGGCCCCTCTGTGAGGGCCTTCTGCACAGACGAGGGGAGGCAAGCACATTCTGGACACGTGGTGAGCGAGGCTGCCTGCCTGCTGAGCACTTTCTCGAACCCCAGGGAGCAGGCAGTTCAGGGCCCCGGCTGGCTGAGTCCAGCTCAGTCAGGATGTGGGTCAGGACCAGCCGTGCCTCCCTGCCGGCCCGTCCATCCCACAGAGGAGCGACCTGCATGGTAAGGACTCCTATCACATCTACTCATTCCAGAAATTTCCCTGGGGCTGTGCCCAGGCTCAGCGCTGACTCTGCCCTCAGTTCTCCTCCTAGTCCGTCGAGGGCCCAGGCCCAGAAGCTGCAAGCATGGACACCAGGCAGTGAGACTCCAGAGTATGCACAGGCCCTGTGTGGGCCTTGAGGGGGCGGAGAAGGCTCCCCGAGGAGAGCGTGCGGGGTGGGGTCAAGGGGGAGTGGGCAAGCTGAGATCAGGGTGGGGGGAGGGGCATGGCAGGATGGCCCCACCCACCCTGAGGCACCAACTGTCATGGTTTCCAGTGACTGGAGCCTTATTTAGACTCATCCAGTGACCTTCACAGATGGTCACACCGACCTCTGCAGTACCTCACCCCCCATGGCCCAAGCACCCAAATTACACTGGTACCCACCCCCCAAGGCAGGAACTCTCACCAGAGGACAGGGCCACATCCTCCTGTCAGAGGAGGTCCAGCCTCTGAGCAGCAGGAAATGCTGGCCTGCCCCTCCACCATCCCTCCCTCCCAAGCTCCTCTGGGCTCATCCTCCAGGCCCACAGGGGCTCCAGGACTCAGGGATGCTGCAGGAAGCCTTGGGTGCCAAGAGGACGCCCAAGCCATGGCGTCGGTCCCCTGGGCTCTGAATCTGGACCTCTGCTTTGTGACTTCAGGAGCCAGAACTCACTACTAGACCAGAGGGGCCGGGGTCAGAGGGACAGCCTAAGCCCTGGTGCCCTAGGAACTGCCCCATAAACCCACACCAGTCCCGATGCCCAGTGGGGCTGTGTCTGGTCCTGAGAGCTGGCCTGTCTTTGCAGGGGGCACCCTTGTAACTGTCTTCTCGGGAAGGGGAGGGTGGCCGGAGCCCCTGAGGGCATCAGGAGCAGGACAGAGCACAGGTGCCTTCAGTGAGCTTCGGTTCTGAGGAAGTGCCTCAGCCCCTTCAGGCTGCCCCACCTCCTGCAGCACTGGGCACAGGTATGCTCACCCGCTGTGTCCATCCTGGTGGCCTCAGAGGGACACGCCCATCCCCAGGGCCCCCAAATGGCCTCCTCTCATCAGAGGGATAGTCACTTCTGGCTTTAGGGCCCACTCCAGTGCCACCCCTCCCCAACAGGGACTCCCATCGGCATCAGCCCAGCTGGGGTAGGTCCAGCTTGGAACAAGGCCCCGAGGGGAGACAGGTGGGGAGGGACACTGGCCTGGCTGAACGTCTGTTGCCACACTCAGTCCGGAGGCCCCAGAAGGCCAGGCAGGGAGGGACAGACTTCTCTCTCTGCCCTGACGAATGGCCCTGCCTCTCTCCCTTCACCTCTCCCATGGGGATTGGGTGCCACTGGCTGGGGTGCCCCTGCTGGTCCTTCATGTGGCTCTGGGACGGTCCAGGTGAGTGAGCAGAAATGACCTTTCTCTGGCAAGGATGAGGGACATTGCCCATGGAGCAGGTACCCTGAAGGGTCCAGAGGGAAATCAGATTCCAGAAGGCGTGACCAAGCGCAAGGCGAGGAAGACAAGGTCTCCTTTGGTCCTTGTGCAGGTGGCTTCCCCTCCCCAGGCCTCAGTTTGCTCATCTGTTACATGCCAGTGCACTGCTGAACTCTAGGTTCTTTTCCAAACATTAGGGGGGAAGTCACGGTTTGATCCTCCATCAGGAGGAAGCGGTGGTCAGCATGCCACCTCCACAGCTTTGTGGCCTCCAAGCACACGATTCCTCCCAGGGCGACTGGCCAACGGAAGGCTGAGGGGGCCAGGGGGAGAGGTCGGCCCCTCCCTGATTGTGGTTGCTCAGGTGGACAGCTTCTCCCAGGGCGTCTCCAGGTCTCCGGGGGAAACAGCTTCCAGACAACAGCGTTCCTTAGTCCCCATCACAACAAGGCCTGCACTCCTGTTTCCAGGGAAACCCAGCCTTCAGCGTCCCAGTTGCCACAGCAACATCCAAGCTTCAGTTGCCCACAAGGTCCCAAGCCAGAGGGGGCAGCTGGGAGCCCAGGACAGGGAGCAGGTGCTGCACAGGTGTGGGGCCAAGAGCTGAAGGAGGTCCTGGCCAGGATCCTGGGAGGAGACGCCCAGACTGGAGCCCGGCTTTCTCCTGGATCCTGTGCTCCTGCTGCAATGAGTTCTGCCTCCAGCGAGCCAGGCAGCGGGGATGCAGCCGAGCGGTCCCAGCTGGGGCTGGACACCGTGATCCAGGTCAGTGGGGTGGCTGCCCTCCAGCACGCTCCCAGGAGCAGGCTCCAAGGGCACCTTGAGAGGGAAGGGACCCTGCAGAGGCCACGCCTCCTAGGCTCAAGGGGCACTTTGCACAAGCTCACGTGGTCAGCAAGAGCACACAACCGCATGCGCAGACACACACACACAGTGCAGACTGACTGGGAAAGGGGGCTGGGGCCCCAGACCGCTGGTGAGCCCCTTCCCGCTGAGCCTCAGGCTTGCAGCTTGCACACGGTGAGGAGGGGGGACTAGATCCAGGGTGACTTCTGGGTCTAATTCACTGCTTCCTTTGTGGCGAAGTGTGGGGGCAGGCAGCCCCTCGCCAGAGCTGCTTGTCACCTCTGCCCATGGGTGGGTGGGTGGGACCGTCCCCGATGTCTGTCCTGTGAGTTCCAGAAGTTCTAGTTCTGACTTTCTTAGCCCCACTGACATAACAACAACAATGACTGGGCGTCGTCCCAATGCCCCTCTCCCCGTCACCCCTGACCCAACCTGATGGCATCCCTGCCATCTCACCCCCTGAGGTGTCCCCCACCCCGGGCTATCACAGTCAGGCGGTCCCTGCCCTGACTGGCCCCAGGGCATCCCAGCGAAGGCCCGTGCAGCAGTGACTCAGAGTTGTCCATTAACTCAGTTCTTGGAACTTCGGAACTACACTCTGGAGGTGACGTGGTCCTATATCAACAATGCAGGTCCCTGGGGGAAAGCAACTGCCCACAGTTGGTGCCAGGAGATTAGGCAACACGGTGGAGTCACCACACACATGTGCATGCACACACTCACACACACAGGTGCATGCACACACTCACACACATGTGCATGCACACACACACACACACACGCATGTGCATGCACACACTCACACACACAGGTGCCCACACAGGACAGAACTCGATGAGGGTATTTGAGTCAGGTGATAAAATGAGACAAATGAGGTGGCCTGGGTGGGTGACACTCTGTCCAGCTCTCAGGGGGGTCTCAGCTATCTGTGGGCCTGACAGGGGCTGACCAAAGGTGGGTGAGGGAGGGGAGGGGCTTGCACACAGAGTGTCCAAGACTTTCAGCGTGTCCCAGTGAGCGTTCCATCATCCCCCCTCGATTCGGGGAAAATAGAGGCTCAAGGGTGGAAGCAAGTTGCCACGGTGACAGGCTGGTTTGTGAGAGAAACACAGGATGGCGTCGATGTGGGCAGTGGGCATCAGAGCTTGGCAAACATGGCTGCCCTGGGAAACTGTCATCTGAAGCCACAAGAAACCCCTATGCTTACGAGGTCTGCTCCGCCCACCTGGCCAACATCTGTTATTTGCTTGGCAGTGATTGAGATCTCAATGCACGATACTGGGGTGAGCAAGCAGGCAGGCGCCACGGAGACCCAGATGGGCCTGTCCAGACAGGGCGGCAGGGCAGCAGATGGGGAAACTGGGAGCCTGGGCACAGTGTGACTTGAGGATGGGGGGCCTCATGTGCGACCAGGCCTGAACATGCTCCCCATGTCGGAGAAGCCTACTGACGCCCCACCCCTCCAGCCAGAGGGGCTGTCCTGTCCTCTGCACCCCCTTCCACTGCTGGCCCCCTTGTGCATCCACTAGAGCAGTGGTTCTCAACCTTCCTAATGCCGCGACCCTTTAATACAGTTCCTCATGTTGTGGTGACCCCCAATTTCATTGTTACAAATTGAACATAATTAAAGCATAGTGATTAATCACAAAACAATATGCAATTATATATGTGTTTTCCGATGGTTTAGGCGACCCCTGTGAAAGGGTCGTTCGACCCCCAAAGGGGTCACGACCCACAGGTTGAGAACTGCTGCACTAGAGCATCATCAGAATGCCAGAATCCCCTGACTTAGATTCATTTGGCCTCTTTAGGAACTTTAGCAAGACAAAAGTGTGCTTGTGTGTGTAGCAGCACATCTGTGAACCCCCAGAACATGCGTGGCCGTGGCTCACTGTGCTCACGGCTATCTGGTTCTCCATACTTTTCATCCAGCTTATTGTTAACAGCCATTGGAGTGGCTTCCAATTTGTCCTGCCAGGCACAGCACTGCCATGAACATTCTGGAACATGTCATTGGGTGCCTTGTGGATGCATCTCTTTCGGGGATCTACCCAGGAGGGCAAACAATCGTCTTAGGTTTTGTATGTGCAGTTTTGGTGGATGCTGCCGAATGGATTTCCAAAGAGGTTGTGCCATCCAAGCCACAGGGTGCCAGGGGCTGGTTGCTGCACACCCCAGCCAACACTTGGCACTCCCTACCATTTTCCTACATAGCCATTAGAGTGAATGTTCCTGAGTGTTACATTGTGACTTTGCTCTCTATCATTTGCCTGATGACTAGTGTAGCTGAATATATGTCCCCTGCTTATTGGCCCCTTGGATACCTTCTTTGGTGAAGTGTCTGCTCTAAAATGTTGCCCATTTTCCTATTGTGGTGGCTTCTCTTTTTATTATTGATTTGGAAACAAGTCCTTTATTGAAGACATGCATTGCAAATGTCTTCTGTGGGTGGGTGGCCTTTTCCTCCTGTAATGGCATATTTTGATGGACAGAAGCGTATCATTTTAATACAGCACAATTCATCAATTTCCCCCTTTATGTTAGTGTTTCTGTGTGCTGCTTAAGAAACACACTTTGCCCACTCCCAGGCCACAAAGATGTTCTTGTTTCCTTTTAAAAGCTGTGTTGTTTAGCCTTCACAGGGAAATCTGAAACCTATGTGCCACTGACCTTTGTGTGCGGCTTGAGGTGGGGATCACCACGCGGTTCCTTCCATGTGCATGCGCGGTGGACTGAGGCCCCCTAGTGAACATCAGCGCGCGGGTGCAGGTGCAGGCTTTGGAGGCCCACCCCACTGCTTTGCCCCTACTGTTACCTCCACCTGGACACCTGACCTGTGCCCTCTCTGGCTGTTGAACTCTTACTTATCCTTCAAGGTCCAATTCGCCTGCCACCTCCTCCAGGAAGCCTGTGTGGGTGCTGGGGACACAGGAGCAAACATGATCAACAAGGTTATTGCCCTCCCCAGTGTTCCTTGATATGAGTCACTTTGCAGTTGGTGATATTTATACCTTAGGTTGGGGTTTCAGTCATTCACGTAGTGACCCGTCTGAGCTCGCTGTGTGCCAAGCATCAGTCATGCTGAGGGCTGGGGTAGGGGCCCAGAGATCAATGAGTAGTTGTCCCCCTCACCCCCAATGCCTGAGCCAATGCCTGGCCCGGATCTCCCCTGTACTATTAGTTGAGGACCAAACTGCCACTCATGAGAAGCATGACGCTACCCCAGGGCTCCAGGGCTCCGTGAGAGGCCTAAACTGAGACGGGCTGAGATACACGTGGCGGGGCCAGGTGCTGCCTCACAGAGAAGCTCTTTCTCTTAAGGAAATGGAGCCTGGCGGGCGGCCACCCCAGCCCAGGGCCCTCTCTGCAGCAGCCAAGCTGCGGAAGGATGGCAAGCAGACGTCCGGTGGCTGGACTTGGCTGGGGGCCCTGTCCTCAGATGTGTTCCTCAAGCTGTGCCCACCCCTGGCGAGGGCCAGAGCCACCTGGGGGTGCAGGGAGGCCTGTGGGTGTGCCACTGTGGAAAGGCTTGGGAGGCTCTGAGCGGGCAGAGGTGGTGGAGGAAGGCAGGCAGTGTGCTGGTGCGGGCGCCTGGCCGCCTGTTCGTCTGCATGGGCTCAAGAGGGTGCCACATGGGGGAGAACACCTGAGGTCAGTGTGCTTGCTGGATCCTGATCTCTGGCCACCGGGAGGGTGCTGGCTCAGTAACCGCCGCCAAGGGCATTTGGGGGCCCACAGGCAGGATCCTAACATTGCCACTCATGAGAGGATGACTGAGCAAGTCCCCAACTTCCTCACCCATAAAGTGGAAGTGAGAAGCTGCCCTGTGGGGTCAAGATAAGGGACATGAAAATGTTTGCTGAGAAACCTCGAGTGGCGGTGTCCTGCCTCGCTTCACTGATGCAGTCACAGGGCACTGACTCTTTCATGGGACAGAGCCCAGGCCTCCATCCTCCCAGAGCTGAGCGGGCTCAGTCTCCTGCAGCACCCCTGGCACCCACGAGGTGGCACTGTTGGACCCACCATGTCCACCCCTCCGAGGCCCAGGCCAGCCTTCTCCCCACACAGTGACTCTCCCTGGGTCCTGGTTGAGTTGGGGTCATTCTGTTGCCCCGCCCTGCCTGCCACTGGGCTCACCTGGACAGCCCAGGGGTCTCCCTACTTTGAGTCTGGGTGTGGGGGAGTCTCATCCTCTTTTTCCTAATCCATCCTCCACTCCCCTGGGGACCCAGACATCAGCGGTCTCTCCCTGGGCCCCTCGCAGCCTGGAGGTCCAGAAGGACTCACTCAGGGGTTCTGTGCTGGTCACCAGGAGGGGAAATGGCACAATCCCTCCATGTGATTTCCGTTTCTGACCTACAAGTCCACTCGCCTCCTCCCAGCCGCCTCCCCTCTTCATCTGTGAAAATGGGGGTGGTGGGGGGAGTCCCTGAGACCGCACCCCCACCCTATAGAGCTGTGAGGGAGAGGGTTCTTCTGGGTCTCTCTCTCTCTCTCTCTCTCTCTCTCTCTCTCTCTCTCTCTCACCGTTCAGGACACTAGGAGGCTGGAGCAGGTGACACGCCCACTGTCGCCAGCGCGCCACCGGGCGGAGCAGGGTGCCCAGCCCAATTCTCTGAAATGCGTCCTGCCCTGATGGGGTGGGGGTGACAGGGGAGCCCGTGTTCCCCGGGGGGAGGCTCTCTCCTCCGCGAAGGCAGGGGCCACTCAGAGCCCACCTGAGGCCACGGGGGCCCCGCCGAGCTGTGACCTCGCTGGGTCTTTAGGGCAGGTTAGCGGAGGAGGAGGGCGCTGGGGAGGCCGGAGGCAGGAACAGGGCCGAGCTCAACCGGAGTCCAGTCCAGGGTCTTTGGAGAAACGGGTGTCCAGCCCTGGTGTCCCTCGGCCGCCTCGGGGTCCGTGGGAGCTTGGCGGAAACTCTCCCCAGGGGCGCTGGCCCGTCAACAGGGGGACGGCCCCCCTCTTCCAGGCCCCGGGCCCCAGGGCCCCCGGTCCGACCGGGTGGAAGAAGGCGAACCCGCCCCGTGGGGGACCGGGGGAGCCCCCCCCCCCCCCCGAAGGGAAAACCCCCCGCCGGGGGGGGAAAAGCCCCCGAAGGGGGGGGGTCCGAGACCCCCCGGGGGTGGCCCAGGTTTCGGCCCGGCCCCTTGAAAGGAGCCCCCTTACCCGCGGGCCCCAAACCCCTGGGGGGCTTTTCCCCCTTTCCCCCCTTTTTTTTTTTTTTTT